TTTTTAAGACCACACGTCTTAAATGTTTTTCTTATTTTTGTGAAACTCTGTGGTTTGTGCCGAGGGAGTAACTATTATGTGAAATAATTAGAAAATCTTGACAAATATATAAAATAAGTTAAAAAATACTTATAATTAGGGCTGCTTATCGGGCGGATCGGACGGTTATTTACTCTTAATGGTTCGGCTTATCTGTTATCGGTTATCGGCTTTTAAATGTATTAATCCGCTAGCCAACTGATAAGATATCGGGCGGGTTGGAATCAATTTAGCTCTTATCGGGTGGTTTATCGGCCTAATTCAATCTATATTGCACATGACGCTGCTTTGAGTTCAGAGCAAACTACAGATATTGGAGCAGCGGTTGCAAATTGCAATTGCACATGACGCACAAACCATTTAATTTACACATGCTTAAATCACTGTTTGCTAGTCCCTGGTTAATCCATACATTGACAGAGATACCAAAGTGAGTCCAGAATACATCTGTCAAAATGATTAATCCCTACACAATACACAGAGATAACAAATCACTATTAACACTTCCAATATGAAGTATACATGCTCAATTTCGATGAAACAAAACAAATGGACTGTTTGATTCCACGCAACAGATGGACTGCTTGATTTCAGCATCAAAACAAATCAAGACATATCATTCTTGATTCCATGCAACAGATGGACTGCTTAATTTCGACGAAGAACACTAGTTCTAATACTTTTATAACTACTATCAGAAACAAAAACACTAGTTCTGATACCTTTAGCTGATGTGGCATTGAAAAGTTGACTAGTGGTGCATGAGGCTGCTCTGATTATTCTGTCCAAGGGACTGGGAGACAAGCTATCCACTTCACCAACAGATAATTGCCAAAAAGCTCTAAGACATACACAAAGATACTTTAAAAAAGGATTTCTTATAACAGAATTAAAATTATGCACGAACATAAGTCATGTGATAAATATATTAACAGATTTATTAACGCTATATTACAATTCAAATTCTTACCAGATATATTAACACTGCACGTCAATAACAGAAGGATTTTTTCCATCATTGACAATCTGAAGAAAAAAAAATTAAAATAATGAGTCGTGCGATAAGTATAAGCATATCCACAACATTTATATACAACAAATATAGTAACAATATTATTACCTTGTTCAAGCTGCTCGATTTTATCAAGATCTTCCTCAACACTAACATGTTGTTTTAATTTTTCATCTCGAAACCAATCTTGAAGACACTCTAGAGCTTGCACCAATTTAGGAGTTAATGAACTCCTAAATGAATCAAGAAGACATCCTCCCATACTAAACGCGCATTCGGATGCCTTACTTGAAACTGGAACAACTAATACATCACGAGCCATCTCCGCAAGAACATGAAATCTAGCTGAGTTCAATTACCACCAGAGAAGAACGTCAAATTCTTTAGTGTCATCCTCAATTTCTTCACCAAAATATTTGTCTAACTCTGTTCTAGTATCAACACCTCCACTCCCACTTTCATATTTTTTTATATCTCGCATGAGTGATTCTAAAGTCCTGTATTTTGGGTGCTTACTTGACTGCCAGAAAGCCCGAAAGTAGAAGTGTCCAATGAAGAACAATCTGAAGATGAAGCAAGCACGGCACCTTTTGAGCTGGACTTTACATATTCACTAAATAATGAAGTCATGTACTTCGGCACTTCTGCTTGTATAGTTGTCCCCCGATCTACACCAAACATCTTTACAAGTGCATAGCCAACTGATTCGAGCTTGTAACGTGGATCCAAAATACATGAGATGAAACTTATCTGTTTCATTTTCCCTGGATCACCCCAATGCTTATCAAACTTTTCTTTCATCTTCTTTGCCATTTCACTTAAAATTGTATCTTCATTTGCTATCAATTGCTTCAAATAAACATCAACCGCACAAAGTTCAAGAAAATGAATATTCGATGTAACATCAGATATTTTCAAAGTAAGAAGATAGAAGATTTCAAGAAACTTTGTAATTCTTTTTACATTATCCCCAATCACTACTCAAAAGTTCACCTGTAGGAATTTCAACTTCAATATAAGAATGCTCAAGATAATGTCTCAGGCCAATTTCACTAGAAACATAATGTGAAAATGCACTTTCAAATTCAACAGCCCTGCGCAACATCATGTAGGTGGAATTCCACCTATTTGTAACATCCAAGCATAAAGTTTTTTTACAATTGAGTTGTTCATCATCAAAACATTCTTGAAACCTCTTCAACCTCGCAGGCGATTGCCTAACATATCTCACTGCATGCCTAACACGTTCAATAGACACTAAAGATTCTTTTAAATTATCCTGGACCACAAGATTCATGATGTGAGCCATACATCTCACGTGAAGGTGAGTACCGTTCATCAAATTAGTTCTCATTTTTGTTAATTGCTTAGACAATTCTTTTACCGTCAATCATTTGAGCTTGTATTATCAACTGTGATTGTGAAGATCTTATTTATCCCGCACTCACATAAGCACCTACCAATACCATTTGCCATATCTTCGCCTTTATGACTTATAATATGACAAAAATTAATTATTCTCTTATGTATATTCCATCCGCTGTCAATCCAATGGGCAGTGATACACATGTAATCGATTCTTTGTATAGAAGTCCAGATATCAATGGTAATACATACGCTTTGTTTCCTTTCTATAAAAGACCTCTTCAACTTTTGATTTTCTTTATTAAAAAGATCAAAACAATCCCTAGTTACAGTACTATGGGAAGAGATCCAAAAATAAGGTTGCGCCACTTTCATAAAGTCTCTAAACCTTTTTTCTCAACAAAGCTGAAAGGAAGCTCATCAACTATTACCAAACGACCTAACGCCTTCCTACACTCTCCTTGATCAAATTTTCAAGTAACAATAGATACGTCACCCTGACTACCCCCCGGAACAGATTGAAAGCCTAAATTTGATTATTTTTTTAATCAACAATAGTAGGGCGTTTAGGACACTTATACATATGAGAAAGAAGTGTCGACGCACCGTCTTTGGTCTTAACATAATACTCAATAAAGCAATAGTCACATTTTGCTTTTTTACTTCCTTCGGAAGTAATAATTTCTGTAAAATGATCCTACACAATAGATCTTTTTTCCCCTTTTTTCTGGTTATATTTGACTCCGTTGTTTCAGCTTGACTTATTGCATTTGAATTAGAAGCCCACTTTCACCCATCACCTTATCACTTTGTATATTTTCAGCCATGCTACGAGTCACTCCAACAAGAAAAGAAAAGCAATGAAAATAACAAGTTGCTTAACGGATATTTAAACAGAAATTGTCAAAATCGATCTCAAAACAGCACAAGCAGAGAAGGCAACAGTTGAAATGTCAATTTTAGAAGAAATCTCAGTGATTGGAGATCCGTGAAATGGCTGAATACTTTGAGATGCCTCTAATTTTAAGAAACTTACCATCTGCTGCTCTGGCTATGGCGAGAGGGAGAGGCGAGACGATGATTCCGCGAGATGGAGAGGCAAGTCGGCGAGAGGGAAACAACGAGTCGGCGAGACCGCGAGAGGGAGACGGCGAGTTTGCTGCTCAGCTGCTCTGGCCGCTGGGTGAAATTTAGACTTTAAATTTACGATGTTAGGCCTTTAGGGTTTCTAATAGGGTTGCTTTCTAAATGTCTAATAGAGAATTAGAGATAGAGTAGATTTTTATTATTTAATTTAATTTATATATATATTCTTAACGGGTTAACGGATTATCCGTTAAGAAAATTGATAATCCGCCCCCAAACAGATAAGTCGTTAATAAACAAAAAGGGAAAATTTCATATTAAAATAACTGGGCTGCCTACTTTTCAACTTTATAGCGCATATTTCAATTTACAATTGAGTAGCCCAAAAATAACAGGCCCATATCCGAAAAAGGGGCGTTATTTTCGTTTTTTGGGATTCAAAAGCGTGATTTTATATCTTTCAGCGGGATTTTCTCTCTTTCCCATTCTTCTTCACCAAATCTACAAACGCGATCTTGCAGTCAATGCAACTCCAAAAACCCTAGAAATTGTTCTTCATCTCGAATTAACAGCGAATCTAACACGAAAAGTGAATTTCTTTTGCTGCAATCAGCGTAATTTTCATTTTTGCTGCAATTTTGATTTCAACTTTTTGTTCGATGGAGCTTTTTCCAGTTTACGTTCTTCATAGTGGTGAATGGGAAGAAAATAAGTTTATCAATTTCGTCAGCGATTGTGTAATAATCGAGTCGACATTCAGCTACAACAATTTAGTTACAGCTATTTTGGAACAGATTAGAATCGATAGTGATTTAAACACATTGGAGATTAACTTTTTCCCAAAGGATGGTTTGCCACCGATCCTGATTTATAACGATACGGGTGTTAAGATGTATATGGAATTAAAGAAGAAAAACTTGAATTTCACTGAATACCCGTTGTATGTGACGGTGAAAGAGATTTGTGATACTCGTTTGATTGGTACAAGTTCTAGTTGTTTGGTTGGTACAAGTTCCAGCTGTTTGGTTGCTACAAGTTCCAATTGTATAGATGTATCCACAATTGTAGCACTGAGATTATGCCTGATATCGAATTTATTGAAAACACAGAATTTAGTGAAAACACGGGTATAATAGATGATATGTTGAACGAATTTGTTGAGGAAGATCAAGTTTATAAGGATAAAGAGACAACTGTCAGTGTGATGAAGAACTTGGCTGTACGCGAGAGGTTCCAATTCAAGGTGAAGAGATCAAGCGCAACAAGGTATGACAATAGTTGTATATTTTGTTATATATATGTATAAAGTAGTATATATTTGTATATAGGTATTAAAATTAGTATATATATCTAGTTATATTTTTGTATACAAGTGTATTTAGAAGTTGAATGATCTTTAATCCTAGGTATCACCTTATGTGTGTGGATGACAATTGTGCTTGGAGTTTTAAATCTTCTGCCGTTTACAAGGGAAACATATTCAAGGCGAGAAGTTACAATAATAATCACACATGCGGCTATGGTGAAAGATACTTAACACAACGTCAAGCTACTTCGGGTGTAATTGCTAGTATAGTCAAGGACAAGTATGTTAATCCAAAAAAAATTTACACCGCAAATGATATAATAGAGGACATACAAAAGCAACACGGGATTGAAGTGAGCTACATGAAAGCATGGAGAGCTAAAGAGATAGCAATGGCAATGATAAGAGGGAGTCCGAGTGATTCATATAAGGAGTTGCCGAAGTATTTTTATATGTTGGAGCAAACAAATCCAGGAACGGTTACAAAGTTGCACAAATCAGAAGATGGATGCTTTCTTTATGCATATGTTTCGCTATATGCATCTATCAAGGGCTGGGAGCATTGCAGACCGATAATGGTTGTTGATGGAAGTTTCCTTAAAGCAGCATATAAGGGTACCATATTGACTGCTTGCACACAGGATGGAGCTGGTGAGTTGACTGCATCTACCTTGTTTCTGCAGTTTGTATAATGTTGTAGTTTCATGTATAAAAGTGTATAGGATTTCACAGCTGCTGTTTTTATAAAATTTGCAGTTGGTATAAAATTGTATAATTGTGTATAACTGTGTATAAGATTTGTATAATTGTCTGAATCCTAATATCTATTTTGTATAAACAGGAAAAATCCTTCCACTTGCATATGCAATTGTAGATTCAGAGAATAACAAATCTTGGGAGTGGTTCTTTGTCCAGATAAAGGGTAGTTTTGGTGTTAGGGAAGGGGTGTGTATAGTTTCAGATAGAAACGAAAGCATCTTCAATGCCACAAAAGCTGTGTACCCAGAAGTACCACATTGTATTTGCATGTTTCACTTGTGGCAGAATGTCAAGCGCACATTCAAGAAACATCACAAACAATTGAACGATATCTTCTTTGCTTTGGCTAGAGCTTACACAATAGAGAAGTTTGACTACCATATGACAGAGATGTGCAAAATTGATCCGAGGGTGCAGCCTTACTTGTTCGAAATTGGCTACGAAAGGTGGTCTAGGGCATATTCCAAAGTTAAAAGGTCGATGGTAATGACTTCCAATATAGCAGAGTCAATTAATGCAGCAAACAAGGATGCTAGAGAGTTACCAGTAATGCGATTGCTGAAGTACATGACAAATTTGCTACAACAGGGGAACAACAAAAATAGAAAAAGTGCAATGGAGACATCTACAGAGCTTGGCGAAAAGTACGACAAACTCCTTTGGGAAAATCTGATTGCATCGGAGCAAATGACGGTAAATTGAATCAAATAAAATGATGCTTGGCACTGCTGACTTGCATTTTACTGCTTGTATAAGGATGTATATCTCTGTATAATAATGTATAATGTTCTTTCACTTTTTTTTAAAAAAAAAAACTTTTGCAGGTGAGGCCTGCTATGGAGAAGTTATATACTGTGTTTGAAGGGGTAAGGCGAAACATAGTGTGCCTTTAAGAGGGAACATGCAGTTGTGGAAAATTTCAAATGGATGAACTTCCATGTCCGCATGCTTGGGCGGTTTTGAAGAACCAGCAGCTGAAACCTGGCCAGTATTGCTCTTTTTACTACAAGAAGGATAAACTCCTTAGAACTTATGAATTTCCAGTGAATCCGATTCCAGATAAGAGTCTATGGGTAATCCCAACAGAGGTGATGGAAGATGTGGTCCTACCACCTAAAGAGAGAAGGAATGCAGGAAGGCCAAGAAAGGAAAGACTCAAACCTGCTTCAGAAAAAGAGTCTAAGAGGGCATTTTCATGTTCTGTGTGTGGACAAGGTGGTCACAATAGAAAAACATGTATGAATCGACCAAAATAGATAGTTGAAAACATAGCACTTCCTATTACATTTGTTGTCATGTTGAGTAGTTAAGTTTCACAAAGAATACAGTTACAAATGTTGAGTAGTTAAGTCTCACAAGTAATTGAATTACAAATGTCAATAAAGAATTACAATTTACACTATATATTGCAATTGTGTTAAATATGTTTCATTATACATGTTTTGATTATCCAATAATAGTGTGTTGCTGTTTTTAATGGTGCTAAATATATTGATAGATTGTACAAATACAAAACAGAACTGCAAACAATCAATGGTATTATATGTATACAGATGTATAAATGAGAGTATAAGTTTGTATAAGTTTGTATAAATATGTATAAACCCTGCAACATTAACAAAACTGAAACCATAATGAAAATACATACTTTGTTAAAGGACAAAAGCAACTGAAATATTCATTAAAATATAATTCATTCACAGCCACAATGTGTAATGACTACCACAAATTACACAAAAATAAAAATATCTATAATATCCTTTAAGGTTATCTCACAAGTAGCAGAATAGTACTTAGACAAAACTAGGCAACAACTCCTGATACATAGCAAAACTACATTAAAATGGAAAAAACAGAACTACTTTCTCGGTCGTCCCCTCTTCCTCTTCCTGAAAAGTCTCCCTGTGATTTCATCACCACTAATTGCACCGGACTGTTGTTTTTTCCTTCCATAATCCCACAACAGAGATCCCCACCTGGTGCGAAGTGTCTCAATGTCAAAATTATCTTTTCGAATTTCCTTACCAAGGATGAAATACTCAGCAAAGCCAGCAACAAAAGCACCACAATCACTGTAATTAAAAACAAATCAGATTCTCTGTACGTTACTGTAAATAGGTACACTAATAGTAAAATAGTAAAACAATTGAGATTAACCTACCATTTGATCTGTTGGGGCACATTATTAACCAGATTAATCTGCAAAGCATCAGAATGGGATTTATCGGTATATGCACCATTGTTCCAATCAATGCCCTTCTTCTCGACATAAAAATCAGAACTCTTCAAGAAGTAAGGTATCAGAATTGCATAAGGTAATGCAGCATCCAAAGCAAGTCTATCATTAATAGCTCCACGGTTAGAGTCATAGATGTGGATGCACCTATCTATAAACGTAAACAACCCCAAAATCCAATGGCCCAATTTTGCTCTTCCGCGCTTCACATAGATAGGGAATAAGACGTGGTCAACAGTGTGCCACGGTACATTTGCATCACAATAATATCCTTAAATGTACTCTTCTATCTCATGCCCTTCAGGAATCACTGAAGGATCTTGATTCACTTTGAAATCTTTATACAGGGAGTTGATTTTGTTACCAAAGGCAAAGTCGATTGTAGTAAACCGCATGGCAACATCCGGCCCATATTTTTCCCTCTTCCTCAAATAATAAAAGAGGACATCCAAGTGCTGAGACAAGAAATAAAACAAAACAACCGTCACTACTAGATTTTTTAAATATAGAAATTTATACACTATATACAGAGTTATACATTTTTATACAAGGTTATACAATCTTATACTGTGATTATACAAAGCTATGTATACATTATGGGGGTCTCAAACAATAAAGATACGCAACAAATAAAAAAAGGCATTAGAATAGAAAGTTATTAAATACCGTGTCAATCAAAGGTCGACCACAATACCAAGCGAGTGGAACCAATCCTTCGTGGTCACATGACACGAGCCAAAAGTAAAAGCTTTTGCAAGCTTATTTACTTCATCGGTATATATATTTTTGGCACTTCAAATCACAAAAAATAAAAAGTAATCAGAACTACCTTCATTGACAAGTATAAAATCAGAACATGAAAGATTAAAGAAAGTTAAGATACCTTCGCCTCGTATCCATCCCATAATCAACAAACGTGCAAAACTCTTTAGCCAATGACGACAATGGATCAAAATCATCAATTTCGATCGTGAAAGGATGCTTGATATAAAAAATGAGCTTGTGCGCCGATCCTGATGCCCGCGAATCAAAAACTAGCAAATATGGAGATTTGACATATTTTTCTGGTATTTTCTGTCGAACCGATTGTTCAGGAGAACTGTAATCCTCTTCTACGTCTATGATGGATGGTCTGTGAAGCACAATTTGGGACATCTGTAGCGCAGCTATATCTTCATCGCCAATGTCATCCCAAAATGTATCACCCTTGACATCACCTGCTGCCCCTTAGACAGAGAAAACCAATAATAAAAAACTTTCAAAATGATGAAAAGAAAAATCAGACAAAAAAAGATAAAATGCAGAACGAATACCATGATCAACACCATCAGTAACTCCCTCGTTTGCTTTGACACCCAAATCTGTTTGGTCAGCTAGCGCGTTATCTTGATTCACTTGATCGACAAAGTCAGGAACAACATCATATTGATAGCCATCAAATTCGCCGAGATCAGATGTATTGTAATCAGACACGCGCTGACGAATCTAATAAAAAACAATAGATATCAGTCAACTACCAATAGAAAGGCATAACTGTTGAGTGATGATTCAGAGAAGGCATAACTGTTGAGTGATTTGGTTTTATCAGTAAAAAAATTACCTTAGAATCATGAACATCCTCCCTCGTTTGCTTGGTTTCCTTCATATTCAGAAAACTGAACACTTTTCCAAAGGAAGAAACTACATAACTGTTGAGTGTCATAACTGTATCAGTCAACTACAACAAAAAATAACAAAAACAACAAAAGTAAATCAACAACCATGTTTATAACCATAAAATCATGTATATACAAAAAGTATCAATAAACTACAGAAAAGATAAAGCTCCAGTACCTTTCCAACAGCACTCTTCAACTTCTCAACTTCAGCATTCAACAGATCAATGCGCACTGAAGGATCATAATTCGGGTTAGGCTGTCGATCCATATTCTGAGAAAAAGGTCATTTAGACTGTTACTCCGTATTCTGAGGATAAGGTCGTTTAGACTGTTGCTCCATATTCTGAGGACAAGGTGGAGATGCAGCGACAGAATCATCAGTGTGAAAGGCGGTCACCTCCCCTGATGCAACATCATTGGCATTAACTTCAAAAAGCGTGGCGATATTCAGAGTTGACATCTCTTCACGAGTAGGGGAAATGTTCCTATAGTTCAACTACAAGAAGAAAAACTGGATTACAATAGTAGAAAAAGGAAATTGTGACATATTCATAAGTATACATACTTACAGAAAAACTAAAATCATATATGAAAAGTATTATGGTACAAAATGTTTACCTTGTCGATACTAGACATGATCACCCCGCCAGTCAAATCCGCATATGTTGGAGTTTCAGTGACTTTCCAATTAAGAATGCGTGGCACATTTGTGCCAACGCGAACAACTAGATGCTTGTCAACCATAGAGCAACACTCAAAAAACCATATTTGTAATGCAAGTGGCAAACCTCCAAGCCTATACATTGTCAAATAGTCACACTGTCTGTCCCTCATTGTCTTTAAAATATCTTCAAATGACTTTTTTCCCCAAGCATACGTCTGATATTGACCACTTTCAATGATATCAAAATAATCTTTGTTGATACCATGATTATTGGCATCTAAGAATATGAAATGATGGACAAACACCATCAAGGCCATCTTGAAGGCATCTTCGTCCGACTTCCAGTCCTTTTTCTTGAAGCGATCAAGAAGCTGCCCCCTCGTTATAGCCTTTTTTCCATCTCCTGAAAAATACTCTTTTAGCAACAATTGACATCTGGTTTGTCATAGAAAGTGGCGTATTCTTCTACATATTTCAAACCAGTGATAACAGCAAACTCTCAAATGCCAAAACGCAACAAATAACCATTAATTTTCACCCACGACTCCCTTTCCCGTCCTGGGATGACTTTCCTCAATGGTATACAATGAATAAGTTGATTTTGAATTTTAAATTGAGGGAGGTCCAAGAAGTACCCAAAACAACTAGCACGGAACATTTAAAGTTGCGTGTCAGTCAAACATTGCTTCAAAATGCTCACAATATCAGTCTCGGTATGGGAACTAATCCTGTTGTGGAAATGATCAACTGGTTGTATATAGAAGTCTCCAACCTTGCATATGGAAAAATAACAAGAAAGAGATCAGGAACAAAAACTATACTAAAATATTGTATAAACATGTATAAATCAGTGTAGCAGTACTTGTATAAAGATGTATAAACAGCTGTATAGCTTTGTATGAAATTGTATAAGCATGTATAAAATTAATAGCAACACAGGGAATACCTTCAGTTTAGCTTTTCTCTCATTCAATTTACAGCGAATAGCAAACCTTTGTTATTTGGATATGCAATCAAGACCACTCTCACCATCGTCCTTGATCTTTCTCTTTTTCGATTTAACATTGGGGCCTACATCATCTTCATTAACCAAATCAACTTTCAGCTTTTCTTTTGATTTTTCAGGTCTCCCACATTTCTTACTCCTTATTCTAACAATGTTAACCAGAGTAGGAGTATTACTCGTTTGCGAACGAGTCATTCGATTGCTCTCTTATTGTAACTTTTTTGTAGGAGCAGGAGACTCAAAACCATCATCATCGGGAGCCTGGACATGTGTATTCGCTTCAGAATCAGGGGTTGAGGGCAAGTCCCTCAATGATTTAACTGGAGTAGGAGTATTCTTCGTTTGCGAACGAGTCATTCGACTGCTCTCTTGTTGCGAGTTTTTTCGGAGGAGCAGGAGACTCAAAATCATCATCATCTGGGGCCTGGACATGCACATTAGCTTCAGAATCAGGACTTGAGGGCAAGTCCCACAATCTTTCGCCTTTTCCAGCAACCTTCATTTTGCTTTTAGAAGCAGGTATTTTTGAACGCATTTTCTACAATAAAACAAATAAAGCTTTAACAAAAGTGAAGACAAGTGAAGGAAAACACAAAAATCAAACCAAAAATAAAGGCCATGAACACAAAGCAGAGGCCAATTTTCCCAAATTGTAACAAAACTCAAAAAATAAAAAATTCTACACTAAAGTCGAAATAACAAAGCATGCAAACTGAAACATCAAGTTTAGGCCCAGAACGAAGATAGAAGGAACACAAAATCAAACGAAAAACACAACAACATTGTAAAGAAAATATTCATAATCAGAAAAGCAAAAGAATTAATAATAAAACAAAATTTAAAACCAAAACTGTGGTAAAAGCATAAAATGAAACGAAAATTACCTGAAAATAAGAGTGAAAGTTCGAAAAAGTACTTGAGACCCAACAATGGAGGACGGTTGTTGCCTTCGTCTCTGAGAAAAGCGTGAGAAGAAGAGAGAGAAAAAGAAAGAGAGAAAAAGAAATTTAAAAGCGAAAACCGTTGTTTTAATATTTGTGGGCTACCGGGTGAAAACTAAATTTCAAACAACCTGGGCTAAATCAGGTAAGGGTTTCAAATGTGGGCTATTTTCGAATGGGCTGTATGACCCAAGTGATATATGATGTAATTTCTTCTAAAAAAAATTTCAATCCGTTCCCTTTCCGTTAAACCGTTAACCCGTTACCAATAAGCCATTTAGTCACTTTTGCGGTTCTATTTTCGGTTTCGGTTCAGTTTTGAACACCCCTGCTTATAATATAGATGTCATTAGGGGTGTTCATAAAAATTCGAAAAACCGAAGCAAACCGAAAACCAAACCAAACCGACCAAAAAAACCGATACTTTTTGGTGTGGTTTGGTTTTGGTTTTGAATTTTAAAAATCGATCAAATTTGGTTTGGTTTTGGTTTTAATCAAAAAATAACCGAAAAAGACAGAACTAAACCGACTATAGGATTAACTATTTTAAATTTATTATTACACCTATATATATGTATATGTTTATACAAAGTTTCAAAAAATTTATGATAAATGCTAATCGTTTGCACTTTTAGTACAGGTCTTTACCTTTACATTCTAGTTTGATTGGTAGTTTTCTTTTGTTAAGTGTAAGAATCCATTTCATGTTAAAGATAATACTATTTTTAATCGAGTTCTTAAATTATTCATCACTATTTGATTTACCATCAATATATCTTGGAAAATAATAGATTTCTCAAAGGGCAATTGGTTTGATAGTATTACGTTGAAAATGTGGTCGCCGAAATATGTGTTTGGTAGTGTACGTCTTATATTTAAGAAAAAACCGACAAATAACCAAAAAAAATTGAAAAATCGATAAAATCTGACATAAATCGAATTGAGAAAAAACCGACTTAATTAGTTTGGTTTGATTTTAATATTTGAAAAATCGATTTAATTGGTTTGGTTTCTTTTTTGGAAAAAATCCAATCCAAACCAAACCACAAATACCTGATGTCATTTTGAGGTATCTCTCATTTCGTCCTCTTTTGCCTCTTTTCTCAAAAGCTGTGTTTATTTTTAAGCAATCGTCGCTCCGTGTTCAACTCGTTAGCAGACATCGTAGACAAGAGAAAAGGAGAGAGAGAAACTTAGAGAGAGAAAATCACACATAACAAAAGTGAGTAGCATTTACCAGTTTCTACCCACACACACAAAGAAAAAAAAGAAAGGAAAATCAATCTGCCAGGAGAAAGACCTTTCCTGCTAGACTGATTTTTACATCTTTTACCAACTTGTAATTTGATTCCCTCTCCAAAACCCAATTTGGCAAATTGGGGGTTGTTTTGTTGAGTTTAGCCTTAGAATTGAATTATAAGTTAGAAGGGTTTAGTGAGGGTTTAGGATTAATGATGTTGACATTCAAAGTTGGTTTCTGATGTAATACAAAAGCGGTGGTTACATACAACAACATATAAAAAAAAGATGTCGCTTTATATTGGTCGTGAGGCTTCAAAGGTTCGTCTTTTAGGTGTTTAAAATTACTTAATTTGTTATTTGAAGATAAGGAATTTATCGGTTTTCTTTTTTGCAGCTGTGGAAGAGAGTTTGTTCGGAGACAACAACGGAGATCAATCTTCTTGCTGAAAATTGGAAATATATTCTTGGTGGCTTAATATTCCAGGTTTTTAATTTGTTCTTCCTTTTATCTTATTAGCCTTTTTTTTATATATAACCGTCTGCTGTACGGGCCAGCTTGCACGGGATACGTGCCCGCTCCAACCAGCTATCCACCAAGCATTGGATAGTTGGAAAGAAGAAAGAAACCACCTACTAGTATTTTTGAACCGGAGACCTTTCTCACCCACTTCATTAACCATTAGGCCACGCCCTTAGTGCTATTAGCCTCTTTTGTTGCACACAATTTGAAAAAGAAAACGTGGGGAAAAAACTTTTCTTCTGGGGTGTTTGGTTGAAAAGCAGTTTTTATCAAAAGTTCATCTTTCTCAATATCTTGAACCAAATGGGACAAGTTTTGACCTTTTGGTCATGGGAAAAGGACATTTTTTGTTAATGGGGGTATGTTAGCTTACCAGGGTAAAAGTGTTCATCCATAATGTGTTGTCCGGTCAAGCTTGCGTGCATCTTGACTAATGCCACGGGGTACCTGCTACTTCCCAACCAGTAGTGTAATTATTATTTACTTTGTGATGAGTTGATTAACCTAAATATTAAGGTGACTTCTTTCTGATAAAATATAGCTTATCTGGTGTTGACTTGCATAAGTAGCGATTATTGTAGTTGTAGTTCAGGTTGAGGGGTTACGAGAGGCTTAGGGGCCCTTCAAATTTTGCATTATTTTTGTTGCGTATAGAATGATGGAGTTTATGATTTACATTTCTCGTGTACACATTTTACTGCAGTTGAGAAGTGGTGTTGGCCACTGATTGATGTATCATTTCCTTTTTCTAATGCTTCTTTAATTTGTTTTGTTGCTGATCTTAGTGTGTTTTAGATACATGAGTCATGAAATTTATCTGTTCTTTTCTTCAGTACATCCATGGGCTTGCTGCTCGAGGGGTTCATTACTTACATCGTCCTGGACCATCTCTTCAGGATGCCGGCTTCTTTCTTCTTCCGGTTGGTTTTATTGGTTGTCATTCTATGTCTATCCACTATTTCAGAAGTGGTGTATTGATTATTTCGCCTTTCTTTACTTGTAAATTTCCAGGAGCTTGGGTCAGACAAAGCTTACATAAGTGAAACTGTATTCACCAGTATTTTTCTATCTTTTGTCTTGGTGAGTTGGTGTTCATACAAATCTTTCCATCATCATTAACACTGAGTCTTTTGCTCCCTCTTTTTGACTTTCGTTAAACGCAAAATTTTTGCTTTGAAATTTGATGTATTCTGTTTCTCTCATTATTATAATTTGTAGGTAAACAAAGACCGTCTAGGCATTCATAATCATAAGCATATTTGAATATGTTCAAGGCAAACTCTGAGGCCAAGCTAACTTTAGGTTTTAAAATAGGGAAAACCTGGATATTAGATTCTAAAGCTTATAATGTGGTGCTAGAATGACTTTCCATAACCATCAACTGTTATTAGCTGGTTTTAACATTTAAATTTATTTATTTACCTATGAAGTGAATCTTGTATGTTTCTGATCTAATTGTTGCTCATGCTGTAGTGGACATTTCATCCTTTTATTTTCAAGACCAAAAAGATCTTTACTGTTCTGATATGGTGCAGGGTCCTGGCATTCTTAGTTGTAAGTACCCTCTTTTCTAGTCTTTTACCTTTTGTTTTATATGTCAATTTTCAATTGTAGTTTCATCAGTTTAACTTTGGGCAAAGGTAACTTTCTGTTGTCCTCCTATGCCATACCTATGTTCTTTGTCCCTGACCTTTCGGGAGAATCTCGATTGGTCCAATCTATCTTCTAATTTGTTAAATAATTGTTTGCTACAGGCTTGTCAATTTCTTCGGATCATAACATTCTATTCTACACAGCTTCCTGGTCCAAATTATCACTGCCGCGAGGTGGTCTAATTGATGATATATTGGTTAGCATTTTGTTTACTGTTGTCTATGCAGTGTGCATCACCTTACAGTTTATTTTGCAATTTCTAGGGTTCAAAGCTTGCCACACTTCCTCGGCCTAATAGTGTTTTAGAAGTTTTCCTAATTAATTGTAAGTTGCATTAATATTTACAGACTTATTATTTTGGGTTTTTGGTTATAACATTCTTTGACTTTGGTGCTTGCATGATGTTTATGGCAGTTCCCAGGGGTGTACTTTATGGTTGTGGTGATTTGATATTTTCATCACATATGATATTCTCTTTAGTCTTTGTGTGGACGTATCATAAATATGGCACACGAAGGTAATTAATATATCTGCTTTAACATGATACTTTGTTTTTACTTTTGGTGAATGCAACTTTGCAATTGATATTATGGATGATGGTGGATATAGAGTTTGATTTTAGTTGTACTAGATGAACAACTGAAACAATGCGACGATGTCCCACTTCCCTCGCTTTTCCTTTGCTTCTCTTTTTCTTTTGTTTCAATCTTCAACCTGGAAGATGAGATTTGCTGTTTGGTTGGATTTGCTGATTGTGCACATCAGGATGTTGTTTAATATAATTTGTTTTTTATCTTTTGTGCTACATTCAAGAAATTGCTTACTTAGGCTCATTACTTATATGTTTAAGTTAAATTCTGGCACCTTTGTTTACTTCTTCTGTATTTCTTTGTTTTTCCTTCAATTTGATCTTCTCAAGAAGAAAAGAATGGCCGTATATTAAGTGTTCCCAGCACATCCGGAACTTGTCAGTAATTGTTTGATTTTATTCTGCAGGTTTATAAAGCAATGTGCTTGGTTAGCTGTTATTGCTCAGAGCTTTTTGATTGTTGCATCACGCAAACATTACACAGTTGACGTTATTGTGGCATGGTGAGTCGAGTTTTGGGCTAGAGGATCTGTTTTGCACATTTGTTGGCAAATATCTGACCTAGTTGAGCTATACTGATTTTCTACAGGTACACTGTTAATCTAGTAGTGTTCTTCATTGACAAAAAGTTACCAGGTTAGCATTCAGTTTGAACTTCCTTTCAAACAGGTTTGTTTGTCTGGTTTTGTTATTCCCTCTGCTTTTGCGTCCTGTTATTAATACTCAAACAAGAAGGGTAAAGAAAAGTTGAAGCATGAGCTGTTTGTTGCAGAATTGGCTGACCGTACTAGTGCAGCCTTGTTGCTACCCTTAAGCAAGGATAGCAAGACTAAAGAAGAGAATCACAAACTTCTGAACGATAATTCTGGTGATCCTGCAGACTGGGTATGGAGATTTACCCGTTTCTATTTTCCAGTTAGGTATCTTTAGTAACTAATGAAATAACTCTGACATTGTTCTCTGCATTGTTTATAGAGGCCTAGAACCCAAATCAACGGGAAGATCATGGAAGATGGTAATGCGGTCCATGTTGAAGCAGCAATGAATGGTGTATAGACGATAAAATGCAGACAGCTCAACTAACTGAACCAGGTTTAAGCACTACTGTTCAATGTCATTACAAGTCGGGTTTGACAAGTCCTTCGTGGTGTTCTTCCAAGTCCAATAGTTTTGGTCCGTAGTGTAGGATGCCAAGTCTAGAGGGTTATGCTTTGGATGTCTCTGTGGTCCCTTTGCTTATATTTAATGGCTTCAATGTATCATGGAATTCCATTTTTTCCCCTTATTAATGCCATTATTCTCTAATTGCGCTCACCTAAGTCTTAGTAAAGGACAGCCCAGTGCACTACGCTCGCGCTATGCGCGGGGTCCGGGGAAAGGCCGGACCGCAAGGGTCTATTGTACGCAGCCTTATCCTGCATTTCTGCAAGACGTTGTTTCCACGGGTCGAACGCGTGATCTCCTGGTCAGATAGCAGCAACTTTACCAATTACGCCAAGGCTGTCTTAGTACACTTCTTTATTTCCAATAAGGTTGAAAACAAGGGGCAAGAAATGCAACAGATGAGTTGCAGCAAGTTTGCAGTTGATGGTAACATGGGATGTACAGAGCATGTGATGATCCTTTATGAAAGAGCCAACAGTGGCAGGTGTTGGGAGTGTATTAATAATAGATCCAATTAAATGCTAGAGTATCTTGGCTCAAGAACCACGTATTCCTTTTGTTCATTGTCAAGTTCTTTATGTATGGCCCATTTTGCCTGTTTACTTAAAGGTGCATTGCACAGATAAAGATAGAGATTGCACCTAAATAGCACATGCTTGCCTCTTCCTTTGGGGCACACAGCCATTGCCTTTCTCCTACGACAGTTGTGTGTTATCTCATCTCTCTGACGCCTGAAGTACAACTTACTGCTCGAACTCAGATCTTCATCTCTTTTTGTTAAAGAACAATCACAGATTAGTCATGTGCTACTATTGGTCCCTGTTTCCTTCTTTCCAATGTGAAATTTGACGTATATTTAGTACGAATAACAGTGTTGAAACAAGAATTAGAAGAAAAATGAGACAAGAATATTAGATCACAAATGAAGAGTGGTAAAATCGTTTTTCTTCTAGTATCCAGTGTTGTTATAGGCCCGTTTGAAATGTGCCTAAGCTTCAAATCTTTACACAAATAGCCGGTTGGATTTACTCCTAACTGGTCTATATAGACTATATTATGGATGGTAATATATATACACCTTTATTATACAGGAATTATACAAATACTATACATCTGTCGTCTTAGATGTGTGACTATTTTGGTTAATTATTCAAGCTTCATAGCTTGGTCCAACAATGTTGGGGCACTTCAATGCACCTCTCAACTCTTAGGAGTTTTGATTTAAGAAGAAGACGACATTGATTGATTAAAACCTATAATTGAATTGCTCCAGCCTCTCTTATTTTTTCCAAAACCTATATAGAGTACTAAAAACAAGTCTGAAATGGAATTACATAAATGTTTGTCTCGATACAAAGAAAACAAACTAAATACATAGAAGGGACTTCGGCCTGCGAACGCCAGCTAGGTTACCTCGTAAGTCCCTGGACTGAAGACAGCTCCCGCTCAAAACTGGTGCTACGGTCCAAAAGCTGCTCCCTGATCTGTGCAAAAAGATGCACAGAGTGTAGCATCAGCACAACCGACCCCATGTGCTGGTAAGTGCCTGGCCTAACCCCGACGAAGTAGTGACGAGGCTAGACAGGACCTACCAAAAACAACCTGTGCGCATATATATATATATATATATATATATATATATATATATATAAAACGGAAATAACAACAGAAAACATCAAATGAATCTGGGAGGGGGTATGCTCAGGGGAAATACAGTGAAAACTAATCGTCGAGAATAAACAATGAAAACTACATCAGATCCCATAACTCATATAAGTGGACGGCGTGCCACACGATCCCATAGTATATATATAAGTGGTCGGCGTGCCACACGATCTCATTTCATAATGCATAAGTGGACGGCATGCCACACGATCCCATTTCATAATTCATAAGTGGACAACATGCCACACGATCCCATTTCATAATATATAATCTTTCTAGAGGAGGCCCCATTAAGGGAATTCAACAACATAACGATTTAACCCGGTAAGGGTACAACTAACAGCTCAACTATCCCGGCAAGGGAGAACACATACAATACTTAAATCCCGGTAAGGGAGAAACAACAATATTAAACTACACGTCCCGGCAAGGGAATAATTACATCACTTCCTCTTTTGATCACTTATCTCTCAATTATCATATTCTCGTTCGAGCCAACGCTCCAATAATATACCAATCACAATTCTTCCTCAAACCATTCACATTATATGAAACTTATCAATTAAACAAGGAAGAGGTATCACAAAATCCAATTTAAACACAATTAAGACTCACTGTCATGCTAGACTCCGGTGCATAGATACTCGTCACCATGCCTATACACCGTACCCCACATTTAGCCATTAGCAAATAATATCCTAATCATATTCCCTCAAGCCAAAGTTAGAACAAACACTTACCTTGGTCCAAGAATAGCAATCAACTCTCTAATACCGTCTTTCCTCTACAATCCGACTCCGAAACAATGATATCTAGGCATGATTAATTCAATAGTATCAATAAAGACTCAAAAACATAATCCCATAGCCTAGAAACGAAGTTCCTAGCATTCTTCCAAAAATACCAAAATTTGACCCCGGGCCCACATGGTCCAAACTCGAGGCTCGGACCAAAACCCGTTCACCCATGACCCCACGAGTTCAAATATATAATTTATTCTAAGATTCGGCCCCAAATTGAGGTTGAATCACCCAAAATTCCCAAAAACCTAACTCTACCCAAAAGCCCTAGTTTCTACCTTGATTTCATATTTTAGGCTTAGAAATTCACTAATTAATGAAGAAAAACGAAGGAATTATGTGGGGATTTACATCAGGGAGATTGTCCGTCTACACGGTATTCCATTTACTATCATCTCGGACAGGGGTACTCAATTTACATCACGGTTCCGGAGAGCCGTTCAGCAGGAGTTGGGTACTCAGGTGACTATGAGTACGGCATTTCACCCCCAGACAGACGGACAGTCCGAGCGCGCCATTCAGATTCTTGAGGATATGCTCCATGCATGCGTGATTGAGTTTAGAGGGTCTTGGGATCAGTTCTTGCCATTGGCGGAGTTTGCGTACAACAATAGTTATCAGTCCAGCATTCAGATGGCGCCGTATGAGGCTCTATATGGTAGGAGATGCAGATCTTCGGTGGGTTGGTTTGAGCCAGGTGAGGCAAGACTATTGGGTACAGATTTGGTTCAGGATGCATTGGGAAAGGTTAAGGTGATTCAGGATCGACTCCGTACAGCCCAGTCTAGACAGAAGAGTTATGCGGACCGGAAGGTTCGTGATGTTTCCTTTATGGTTGGTGAGCGGGTTCTGCTTTGGGTCTCGCCTATGAAAGGCGTCATGAGGTTTGGGAAGAAAGGGAAGTTGAGTCCGAGGTTCATTGGCCCTTTTGAGATTTTGAGCCGAGTTGGGAGGTTGCTTATGAGCTTGCCTTACCTCCCAGTTTGGCCGGGGTTCATCCGGTATTTCATGTCTCGATGCTTCAGAGGTATCACGGTGATCCGTCTCATGTGTTGGAGTTCACTTCAGTTCAGTTGGACAAGGATCTGTCCTATGTTGAGGAGCCAGTGGCAATATTGGATAGGCAGGTCCGAAAGCTCAGATCAAAGGATATAGCTTCAGTAAAGGTTCAGTGGCGGGGTCAGCCGGTCGAGGAGGCGACTTGGGAGACCGAGCAGGATATGCGCAGCCGATACCCTCATCTATTTGCTACTTCAGGTATGTTCTCTATGCTCGTTCGAGGACGAACGCATGTTTAAGTATGGGAGGATGTAACGACCCGACCGGTCGTTTTTAGAATTTACGCCCCGTTCCCCTCTTAACTGCTTCCCCTAAGTTCAATTCCGCTATTTTGGTTTGCCGGGACGTTCGGTAGTAGGATTCGGAGTATTTTGGGACACTTAGTCCCTAAATGAGAGCTTAAGTGTTGGAAAGTGGTCTGTAATTGGAATAGTGTGAAGACGTCCTCGGAATGGAAATCCGATGGTTCCGTTAGCTCCGTTAGGTGATTTCAGGGTTGGGAGCATGTCCGGAATGTGTTTTGGAGGTCCATAGCTCATTTAGGCTAGAAATACCGAAAGTTAGAATTTGGAAGTTTCTGGTCCGATAGTGAATTTTTGATCCGAGGGTCGGAATGGGATTCCGGAAGTTGCTGTAGCACCGTCATGTCATTTGGGACGTGCGTGCAAAATTTCAGGTCAATCGGACGAGTGTTGGTTAGGTTTTGATCGAAAGCGTGTTTTGGATGAAATTGGAGTTCCTAGGCTTGAATCATGGAATTAACCAAGTTTCCGGTGTTGTTTTAGGCGTTTTAAGGATTGGTACAAGTTTGAATAAGGTATTAGGTGGGATTGGTACTTTTGGTTGAGGCCCCAGGGGCCTCGGGATGATTTCGGTTGGTTAACAGAGGAAATTTGAAGTGTTGCAGCAGCTGATATTTTTCTCTTCTGGTATTTTCGCTTTTGCGGCTTGGGAACCGCAGAAGCGGAGCCGCATAGGCGGCTTCCTCATCGCAGGTGCGAGTTCTGGGCTTTGGAGAGATTCCGCAAAAACGGATATAAATACGCAGAAGCGGGAAATGCACATGCGGTATTTTGCCGCAGAAGCGAACTCTGGTCCCTTAAGTGAAAACCGCAGAAGCGGCCCTTGTTTCGCAGAAGCGGGACCGCAGAAGCTGTCCCTTGTCCGCAGAAGCGGAAATGACTATTCAGAAATACTAAAATCGAGGGTTAAGTTTCAAAAGTTGGAAAATCAATTGAGAGCTCGAGAGAAGGCGATTTGGAGTGGGTTTTGAAGAGAAGATCATTGGGTAACGTTGCTTTGATCTCTTCTAGTTATATTTCATCATTATATAGTTAATTACACCATTAAAATTCGAATTGAGGATCAAAATTGGATAATTTGGGTAAAACTTCATTGGCTAAACTATTGAGTTTTGGGGGGCATTTGACCTCCGATTTGGGAGATTTTTATATGGTTAGACTCGTGAGAGTGCGACGGTTCTGAAAATGTGAAAATTATTCGATTCCGAGCCGTGGGACTGAGGGGCGTTTTGGTCATTTTACCTATTTCGCGCCTTAGCATTAATTTTAATAGTAAAATTAGTTACTTGCGATGTTATTTACGTTATGAAATTGGATTGAATAT